GCGTCGTCTTTCTCGCTGTAGCCTAGGACCACAAATATCGAATACTCCTTACAGGCGGCTTGGATGCGACGCATATGTGCGGAATCTCTGGGGAGAGAGTGTGCAATGTACTTTGCACAGAATTCGGATGATTCGAATGCATTTTTTGCCCAGATTGGCCTCATACATAAGGATTAGCTCGCCCTCTGGAGTGATATAGGAGCAGCATACCAAGGATACCCGCCGATCCAAACCTCAGGAAAGGCTAGGACTTGCACGCCTTTCCCGGCAGCCTGCCGTATTATGTCTATAGTCTTGTTGATGGAACCGTCCAGGTCGAGGAAAACCGGTTCGGCTTGTACTGTGCCGACGCAAACAGGGGCCATATTGGGTAGTTTTGCAATTGATTGAATAGCAAGATTGATGTCTGACTGAAGAGCATGGGGGGTACCAGCTCCTTTTCAACGGACGGAACATAGATCCATGATACCGCAGTCACCGAAGCAAACCCCGATGGTCTTGTGCGGATAGAAGATAAGAAGCTTATATCCGAACCCCGCTCACTTGAAGGCTAATAGCTTTTGGCTTTCAAGACGCTACTATCAATGCAAAAAGTTTATCTTTTTAGGAGTAGGTAGTCATTCCGCTTCCGCTTTATTTTCCGCACATGGCCAGAGACATCACTTCGATTAGCCGAACCATGGAAATCTCATCGTAGTTGGGCTGTAGATATATCATCATAGATTCCTTGGCGCTCTAGTAGTAGAAAGAAGGGAAATTAGAAGAAAAGCATTCTAACCGTATTACTTTATACATCATACCAAAGACTCCCGCTTATCGACTTTCTTTCGTTCTTTTTTCTAACTATACTGTTTACTCTTGAATCGGCACACCACTTACGTCCTTACACAAATCCAACCCATACTGCATGAAGAACCCGGCGTCCTTACAGACCAACATTGGTCTAGAACTATCACCTATGAAACGACATATACGATTGTTTGTGCTGTGGTAAATCTTTCCCAATACATGGCAGTGCTAAGAGATATGTGATTGTAAACAGAGTGAATTGCTACCTTCAAAGGTGCTGGATACACGACGCAAGCACTGCGGTAGTCAGTATCAAGTCAGCCTCTGGAGCGACTGGCGGGCGGCCGAAAAGAGCGAGAAAGGGAAGAATAAGCGATGGACCGATAAGGTCCTGGGGCGCAACTTCGATAGACTGGGCACAGTATGCATATTGACTACCTGGCTGCTGCCGAATTTGGGGTGGCATTTGACATGGCACTTGCCGTTGAAGCTGTTGAATAGCTCCCCTTGTAAGTGGCCTAGGAGTCGGAGGGGCCAATTGCCACTTTTCAATCAGCATAACTGGCTGCCGCACACGTTTCCGGATACAGATAACAAGAACGATGCGCACATCCCCCCCTGAATGGTTGAACCACCAGAGGGTGTCTTCCCTAAGCTTGGGTAGTGATTCAGACACCCCAGCCTCGATGACGAGAGTCGGGAACGGACAGACACCTGTTGCCAACGTGCCCACAGGTTGCCGAGCAGGTGGTAGGAATCCTTGGTCGCCTTCCTTACTTTTACTACCTCCAGTGGCTTGGTACCTCGTTGCAGCCACCCAGTATTGGTCTTCAATCCCCATACGCAGCATGAGAAAGCTAATCTTGGTCTTCACACGGTCCGTCGTGATTTCATGTCCAGGGCCGGGGACTTTAATAATCCCAGTGCTGCCATCGTGCTCGAACCTGAAGGAAATCCCATCATGCGATCTTTCATCGCCCAGTCGCTGGATTGCACTGCGTGATAGCCCCAAAACAACAATCCACTGGTTTCCTTCGCCGCGATGTTCAACTAGCTGTTCGTAGACCATATTTATCGCCGTTGATAGTCGTCTCCAATTAGAAAAAGTCTCCCTGCGATAGTTAGGGGGCAGACCAGATAAAAGGCGATGTATGCTCATCGTGATAACAGGTACTGCAGCGAAGGTAGCGGAGGTCGACGAAACGACCAACTTATGATCAGTACCTAGGAGAGAAGTCATAGTCAGTAATTCCTACGAGAAAGTCACAACAACTAAAAGGAAATGTGAGGTTGAAATGTAAGGCGAAAGTAAGGCGAAAGCAAGAATACTAAGGTGAGCTGATTCGAAGTCATGGTAGAGAAGGAGCAGGGAGATCAAGGCTACAGAGATATGATCAATACTAAACTGATTTGTAGTATTCACTTACAATGGTATAAATAATGGGAACATTCCCTATGTGTACATTGACAAGTGAAGAATTGTTTTTTGCAGATCAATTATATTATCGAAGTATGACCCAATCTTTAGCAATGGTGAACCTTATCTCAAAAGTTTTATGAACACCACGTGGCGAGTGCTCAAGATATCTACCCCTAGATTTATCCAGCTCTGCGGAAATAGACTCCCGATATTTGAATACGCATCGCGAGAACTATACCAACGGCACGTCAGGATCACAGAGTGACCCAATCTTGACGGCGCACCCCCATTTATGCATGGACAGGCTAAGGGCCCCGCTAAGTCCACTGAACTGAACATGCAACGATGTGGCTTCCCGGAACAAAGAACGGTGGTGAACCACTCAATTGCATAGATCCATCGCAAGGGCCATATCATTGCAGATGGTGCATTGGGCTTGACTTTCAGCGCTACGTTTGTGATACTGGTTGGATATGCAAAGGAAGAAGCTTCTTGCGATTTGTAACGACAGACAAAAGGTTTAGGTAACATGGTGATAAACCTCCTCATATAACCACCCGGACAGAAATGCATCTTTGCGTCAGTACAGCCCGCCCCGTCTCTCGACAATATTTGAACTTCCTGCTATCTGAGCGGGCTGTCCCAGGAATGTCTAGCAGTGATCACTGTTACCAGAACCCCCATCCTGGCAACCACCGTCACAGTAGGTCGAGAACGAAATATCGCCATTGCCACCTCCATTGCAATGGAAGAGAGATTCGCGATAATGAAGATCATCCGTAGGTTGGTTTGCGGCCTGCAAAGCGACAGCAATTTGAGAGTCGTAATTGCCTGACACGAAGAACCACGTTAGGATACTTGATGACCCGTAAAGAAAGAGGGGTGAGTTTCTTTTAGATGTAGGGCGACGTACCGATGCTAGTGAGGACAAAACCACAGTAGTTGAGACCAGTCTTGCAATTCTTTGCGGCAGCCAAAGGGGCAAGCGAAGCCAGGACGGCTACGGAGAGGGTGGCAAGTTGAACCATGGTGGCAGAGAGATTGGGTTTGTATGAAAGTTATAAAGATAGTAGTTGATGATTGTGATATAGGAATGTCTTGCGAGCTTAGTGAATTTCATCAGAACGACGGGATTGTCCCAGGTATTTATATCCGACGATGTCGCTCCCCCCATAAACTTCGTGCCTTCTTTCTCGTTCTTGATGGATCGATTCTCGAGCCTTGCTGTCTCGGGCTCCACGGTGGACGCCTAAATTATCAAAGCGTGTATCATATGTTGTCCGAAAGGAGAGACACCTTGGACGATCTAGCTCATCTTGCATTGTTGGAGCTCTTGCAGGACGCCTCTCGCAAAGAGCGATTGGGACTTGCTACAATGAGGTCTGACATTATCCGGAAGCCCCTGACTGCCTGGTAATCCTATTGGACCTCTTTCATCCGGAGTAGAGTCTCCTGAGCCTCGTCGTGTACATTATCCAAGTATGATCATCATAGTCGGGCCCCATAATGGGGCTGGCAGGGAACTCCGGATTCCGGAATGTCCGCATTGGGAAGGATTCGAAGCAAATAAGCGTCTCCTATTCATGATCTGACCAGTCGTAGAAACAGCGCACCAGGAACTACCGACGCTTGTTTGGCAAGAATCTCAGTCTTGCATCTCAGATACCAGAATAGGACTAGTTCGCAGAGTCCACTATAATCTTACATACATTAATGTCGGCTCCTAAAAAGGGTATGGAGATGCTTGCCTACAAGTGAAAGTGGATTTGAGCATTTTCTCCATTCATAAAAAGTAGGCAATGGAAGCTATCGTAATCATATTGTTGGTTTTGCCGGGGTCTTTGGAGACGGTATGACTGCTACGCCGAATTGAACTTCAAGACGACCTTATCTCGAGCTGGCATTAATCGTGGGTGAGCGTGATGGTTGTGGAAACATCAATGGAGCAGGTTTCACCTTTGGAGATAGTCTCAGTAAAGAGTAGTTTATGATGGTACATCTACTGGACCAGTACCACCTGGTAGTAGTTGCGTGTCACACAGCCTCATGAATACTGCGGAGCCAATGAGAATAGTACAACACCTCTCACCACTGTGAGAACAGTCCCAATAAGCGCCAATGGCACAGCCGGAAAGACAGACGATCTCGGTCGGTCAGCAGCAGGATGGTGCAGATCTGCAAAAGAGGATGTGATATAGGTCAGTCAGTAACACTGAGGACGCCACCAGGGAATAAACCCCTCCTGCTGTATGTTCTGTATCGAGAGTATCCCCGTAAACTAGCTATCTATCACAGTGAGTTTTACGGCGAGCCACGAAAACAGATTAATTAGTGCTTCAGAAACAACTGGAAAATATGAAGACAGTGGAACCAGATTTGGGAAGATCATTTTGGTACTTTAAGAAAACAGAAGCATAGTTTCACACATGAAGATAATGGCTCACATTGTTACTTAGCGAAGAGGTCACGGCCCTTTTATATTAAAGACACTGGAATGGCACTAGCAGCAGGTACAAAACTCACCTTTTGACCACAACCGTACTATCATAGAACTGGAATTGTCAAATGGATATGTTACAATTGTAAGATCGTTGGGTCCACTGCCAAGCCACTAAAAGCCAAAGATGGGTGCAAAATAGTGAAGAGATGTAGGAAAGTGTGGTCCAGTCTTAAAGACGGGTTCCCGGGCTCGTGGCCAACCTCAGTTTTGCGGCGGGATGCAGAACGGCGCTAAGCGAGAGGCTTCCACAAAAGTCATCCCACCAATTTCCCTTTTCTTTTTTCTTCAGCCAACATCGACAACTCGGTTCTCAGCGGCAAACAGTCAAAATGGTGAGTTTTGCTGTTATCCCACACGGATGACAACCTTTATTGTGTTGTCCAGTATCGCCCTTGACTAGTCTCGATTTTGTTCCCGCCGTGGACAGGATTTGTGGGACTGGAAAAACGGGTCTTTGCAAGATGCTTCGGATACAACCTTTTCTGAAGCGCAAATTGCTGACTCGAGTGTCTTTCTTGTAGCCTTTCCACAAGCTCGTCAAGAACAGCGCTTACTACAGGTGAGTCTTTCCGGTTGATAAACTCTGCAAAAAATGATCATTGTGGGCCGAAATACTAATACCCTCGCAGCCGCTACCAGACCAAGTACCGCCGTCGCAGAGAGGGCAAGACTGATTACTATGCCCGTAAGCGCCTGATCACCCAGGCCAAGAACAAGTACAACGCGCCCAAGTACCGCCTCGTTGTCCGCTTCACCAACCGCGACATCATCACCCAGATCGTCTACTCTGAGCTCTCCGGTGACAAGGTCTTCGCCAGCGCCTACTCCCACGAGCTCAAGCGCTATGGCATCACCAACGGTCTGACCAACTGGGCTGCCGCTTACGCCACCGGTCTCCTCCTTGCCCGCCGTACCCTCAAGAAGCTGGGCATTGACGAGCAGTTCACCGGTGTTGAGGAGGCTGACGGCGAGTACGCTCTCACCGAGGCCGTTGAGACCGACGATGGTGAGCGCCGCCCCTTCAAGGCCTTCCTTGATGTCGGTCTGGCCCGTACCTCCACTGGTGCCCGTGTCTTCGGTGCCATGAAGGGTGCCTCCGACGGTGGTATCCTCATCCCCCACTCCGAGAACCGCTTCCCCGGCTTCGACATTGAGACCGAGGAGCTCGATGCCGAGACTCTCCGCACCTACATCTTCGGTGGCCACGTCGCTGAGTACATGGAGGGTCTTGCCGACGACGACGAGGAGCGTTACCGCGGCCAGTTCCACAAGTACCTTGAGAACGAGGTCGAGGCTGGTGACATCGAGGACCTCTACACTGAGGCCCACAAGGCCATCCGCGAGGACCCCTTCAAGAAGGATGAGGATGAGGGCTCCAAGAAGACCAAGGAGGAGTACAAGGCTGAGAGCAAGAAGTTCCAGAAGAAGAAGCTGTCCCACGCTGAGCGCAAGGCTCGCGTTGAGCAGAAGATCCGTGAGCTTGCTGCTTAAGTGTAATGCTTAAAGCGATAGTCCACCAAAAAGTTTACTTCTCAGACAAATAATAGGGGGAATTAGGTTCTTTCTTGCCAAACCGGCGTTTCTGGGTTTCTGTAGTTTTCATGATTGTCACGACCACCTTTTGTTATTTCAGGGTTCTTCGGAGCAATAATTGGGTTGATTCCCAAAGAATTTGATTAAATCGTTCAATATGCTCCGGTGGACCGCGTTCGTAGCCGTAGTTTGATCTGTAAATGGCCACAGTAACACCTTCTATCCCTCCATATCAACCTCCAGTTTTGTCGCTGTTCAACCACTTCACATGGTAAGAACTGGTGTGGCCGGCCCAGAGTACATCACCTTAATACCAAGGATGCTTTTGGAATTACATGGCAGACTTCTTGGCAAGACTTGACCATCTCGAGCGGGATCTTGATTCTAGATAGTTAAAGCCCCAGTATTGTCAGTCAGCAATGTCCCTTTTCGATCAATAAGCCACCATTGACTATTTATTGGTCTATGGAGTAGCTTATACTCAAATACTATATCCAAACACCAACCCATAAGTGCAGTCAAGTAGTAGTTCCGAAATCCCTGAAATAATGAGTATGGATGACGAACAAAGTCAACCCGTGAACGATGTGAAAGTAAAAATATATATTTGCGATACTCGATACGTAAATAACCATCAACTACAAAGAGTTTGTTTGAGGGAAGTCTGTAAATATATATTTATGTTTGTGCAACATCGAGCGAGCCTCAAAAAATGAGAAAATCGCTTGTATCTATTCTATTCCGAGTAAGTTGTCTACCTGGTAGAAATGCTGTGCAGGAAAAGAGGGCCTTTTACTCCGTAATAGACCAGCCCATACGAAAATCCCAGAGCTCCCCAAAGCGCTTCACGCAACAAGGGAGGTTCAAAAAAAACAAAAAAAAAAAAAAAAAGATTGGTGCGTAACTAAGAGTCTTGGCAAAACAGAAACGCTCCACAATTCTAAAGGCAACATGTGTTAATGTGCAGTTCGTATAGTCATATCTCAGGACTGCTAAGACGCTGAGAGTAGATCCACCGTTCGACAAGTAAAATTGTCTCATATGGATTCTGAACAAGATCTTGCACTTTAATACCGATACAGTCGAGCGTTTGGACCGAGCTGGGGCTGAGCATTATCCCGTCAGCGGGTGTCGCTCCCGTGACAAGCTGGCTGTTTGGCTGAACCTGTATGCTGGACGTGCACAGTTTAACTTGCCGACATATGTCATTTAGTGTGTTGACGGCTGCCTCAACAGGTCTGAGTTCTTCGCGCTCGGCTGTCCACTGGATCAGCATGGCCCCGAACCACACCGCGAGGGACATGTCGTGAGCGATGGCGGCAGGCGTATTTGTCTCCAAAATATTAGCGAATATGGTAAGGATAGTGATGACCGAGTAGAAAGAGAAGTAACTAGTAAGAAATAGAAGGACCGTTAGCTCAAAAGAATTCCGTTCAAAATTTTGCAATATGACAACGTACCATAGTGGCCAGTAAGAGCCAGGCGAATCAATAGTCATTGCTTGCTTCATGCTTTCAATTGCCCTCCTTGCCGCCTCAAGCGACTGGGTTTTGGACGCCTGTCTGTTTGATACTGATCTTGTACGATTGAGTAGAATGACGGTGGTACAGGCGTTCTGAATGAGTTCATCGTAGAACCAGACGCTGTTGCTATACTCTGCTGCTCCGAGGTTTTCATCCTAAATTAGACGGATGTGAGAGCGATGTCGATTTTTCTATCTTGTTGCGTCAACTTACTATGTTCCAGTCTGCAAGAGCTGTCTGAGTCTCCCCGATCAAATCCTCTATTAACTGGTCAGATGGCTGTGATCCTTTTTGCCGTGCATCATCCATCATATCGAAAAACCGCAGTTTCGCAAAGGCAAGGCGCGTGGCAACCAAGAAATTAATTTGGGCTGATCGATTAAGCCCTTCGTTAGGGTTCCACATCGATAGCTCTGGGAATTTGACGACCATGGTGCTAGGATCGAGCAGGCCTGGCTTGTTTAAATGAAGGCGGAAAATACAATCGTTGTGCACCAAAATCCAGATACAGAACCGCATCTGGTCTTTATGAATTGAGTGGCCATGGGGGGACTGGCAGTTACCACTGACGTCCGCGTCTAGCAATAAGAAGCCTAGGTTACAGGCTATGCGGTAGGCAGAGCAATGAAATTTCCATGAAAGCTCCCTCTCAAAAAAAAGTTTGTTGTAAAAATCTTGAACGAGATTAGGGTCTGTTGAGCGCATATTGTGGTTCATGTGACGTACCAAGAGAAGTGCGGCGTAAAGGTCTGTGAGGGTAGGTTGGGCCTCGAAGTCCCAGTCTTTCGCATGTAATAGCATCTTCCTGTACATATAGGACGCATAGTCTTTTCTCCTGCGCCCGAGCCTTCGATCCATGAATAGCCCTTGCAGAAGAACGTTGTAGTATACAAGAAGTGCGGACGTGTCGATCTTGACATGTGGTAGGTCAAACAGGTCAGGAAGAAGAAGGAAGAAATCTTTTCCCACAGGAAGCTCAGGGCCCCACGACAGAGTATAAAATACTACGAAGAGATTAGTTCACGAGCATTTTAGTACTGGTGCGATTGGAAAAATGTACCATTGACCCATTCGGAGGCCATGTTCTTGGTGATGGATGCATCGTCCCAAACCAAGGCACTGCCAGCATCTGGGCTGAGCGCTGGGATATTTGGCGTGGTCTGCTGTGTAGTATGATAAGAGGGAATGTGTTTTTGAATGATATCTGGAGCGAATATGTTATTGCCTGTGATACATTATAGCACCTGATGGAGGTCAGTAGAATCCAACAGTACTTACCATTATTCCGAGGAGGTTCTAGGATGCCATTGTGGGAAGGCGCGGGTGAACTTCTCCGGTCACTGGCTACAGGAGACTGACATGGCGCTACTGCCAGAGATTGCTCCAATGAAGTTAGACGCCTGAGAATGTCAGATAATATTCCAGTGGAAGCACCATCATTCTCCCTTGCGCGATATACGGCCCTGTCCCGGTTAGCATTCGTGATAGTGGCACAAGAAGCATGTACTCGTAAGGACCTTGGTCTTCGGGTTCTCCGACGTCGAGTCGGGTAAACACACTCGACATTGGATGCGACACATCGATTGCATTGTGGAAGCAGTTTGTTACAACCGATCTGCCCGGTAGAAATTTCAAGGTCAGCCAAACAGAGATCTCCAGCATGCATCTGTGAAAAGTGGGTACCTTTTTCTTTCTACACCTTTCACACTACCTGGATTTAGCTGCGAAAATAGGGTCCCTGAGCTTGAAAGAGCACCCACCGAAAGGGATTGGTCGGGTAACGAAATCGGAGTCGACATTTGTGCTGGGAGGTAGACCAAGTCCCTACTACTAGTAGTAGTGATGGACTGGAGACTCTTCTTTGATACCGAAACACGGACAAATCTTTATAGTCCGAAAGTCCGAAGACTCCACAAAGTTTAAATGACCTTAAAAAAGTGTCTTGCCTTGAGTGGCCTAAGGACCTATTGGTTAGTACAAGCCGCGTCTTGCTGTGGAGTCGGAGCCCGCGGGCTCCGTGGTTTCCTCCCCTTAGGGCTTTCTTTGCACTCGTTGTATCCATCACCTTCACCAAAATCTGGACTGGTTATCCCTGAACCTACGCCACACTATCTACTTAACTTTGGGCCAAGAGCAATGTACTTGGTTGTATGTACTGGAGCCCGACCTCTACGGTCTTCCGGCTCTCACCGACACAATGCCGAGATTCATGCACGGACAGCCGATCTATTCAATACGTGCTAGATGAGTCGGAATGACTCACGGAGCTTCTTGAGCCAAGAGTCCGAATCCGATATCTTGGCCTCCGCTCGCGAGGACTAAGTGGCCTAGTGGTCCACACATATTGTTAGACATTTCCGAACACCATGGATCTCCTGTGGCTTGGTCGCCCCCAGCTATGTATAAAGCAACCCCCCCCGGCTCGTTATTGCTAGCTTTCGTCTGTACCTGGACACGAGCAGCTCTTCATGAGTTCAGACGCTAGGCGGAAACCTTAATCACATCTGTCATTCAGAGGCAACAGTCGTGTTGCTCCCGAGTTAGTCGTTTTCTTTTCCCTGCTTGGTCCTTCGACTGATCTCTATAGACATTTAAACTACAGATGTTTTCGTCTCGAGGGCATGAGCCCCGTCCTCCACCTTCATCAGACATGGCCCTCGCTATGGACGGAGGCACTAGTTCAGGGACTCAAACCTACGCCAACAGTGAACAGTCGGTTCTGGAACAGAAAGACAAACTTGGGGAGAATCGAGCGGAGATCGACGAGCAGCTGACGAAACTAGCGCGCAAATTGAGCACAAAGTCTGAAAAAAATCATTATCGTTCCCCGTTCGAAGCGAGTGAAGGTGGATTTCTGGATCCGAACAGCCCTGAATTCCGTGCTAGAGACTGGGCGAAAGCTTTCTACAACGCTAGGTATAATGCCGACGAAAACTGTCCGCCACGAGTTGCCGGTGTTGCGTTCAAAGATTTGAACGTTTCCGGGTACGGTAGTCCTGTGGACTACCAAATGAGTGTGGGAAATGCCCTGCTGAAGTTGCCGACACAGATATATCAGTTCCTTAGCGGCAAGAAAACGAAAATTAATATCCTGCAGGGTCTTGATGGACTAGTTCTTCCTGGTGAGCAGCTTTGTGTTCTGGGCCCTCCTGGATCAGGCTGTTCAACCTTTCTCAAAACTATAGCTGGTGAAACCCATGGCTTTCAGGTAGACCCAGCAGCCTATATAAACTACCAAGGCATAACTCCCAGGCAAATGTCAACGCAATTCCGGGGCGAGGCTATATACACTGCTGAAGTTGATGCACATTACCCACAGCTCTCAGTCGGCGATACGCTGTATTTTGCGTCCCTTGCTCGTGCACCTCGTCACCTTCCGGGCGGAATCAGTTCCCAGGAGTACGCCACTCATCTACGAGATGTCATTATGGCCATGTTTGGGATCAGTCATACTATAAATACCCGGGTGGGTAACGACTTCGTTCGTGGTGTCAGCGGAGGTGAGAGAAAGCGGGTTACGATCGCGGAAGCTGCGTTAAGCTATGCCCCATTACAGTGCTGGGATAACAGCACCAGAGGATTGGATAGCGCAAATGCGGTGGAGTTTTGCAGGACCTTACGGACACAAAGCGATGTGTTTGGAATGACCTCGTGTGTTGCAATATACCAGGCTCCCCAATCTGCGTACAATGTAAGCCCAAGAAGCTATGACCAGGCATTGGACACTGCTAACCAACAAGCCAGCTTTTTGACAAAGTCATTGTTTTATATGAAGGACACCAGATATACTTCGGCGCTGCGCATGATGCTAAAGGTTACTTTGAACGACTCGGCTTTCTATGCCTGAGTCTCAGACAACTGCCGACTTCCTCACATCGATGTCCAGTCCAACCGAACGCATCGTCAGGCCGGGTTTTGAGAGCCTGGCGCCTAGAACATCCGAGGAGTTTGCAAAGCGCTGGAAAGAGAGCCCTGAACGTCAATCACTGTTGCGCCAAATTGATCAGTACGCTAATGAACATCCCTTCGATGGAGCCGATCTTGACCGGTTTGCCCAATCCCGGAAGACCGAAAAGTCAAAGAACCAACGACATAAATCACCATATACTCTGTCATACTGGGGCCAAATTCGGCTCTGTATGTGGAGGGAATTTCAGCGTCTCAAAAACGATCCCAGTGTTACCATCGTCATGCTTATTAACAATTTCTTTGAGGCGCTGATAATTTCGAGTATATTTTACAATCTCTCAGGGAACACTTCATCGTTCTTCTCCCGCGGGGCTATTCTATTTATGATGGTTCTCTTGAATGCCTTTTCAAGCATGCTCGAAATTTTGAGCTTGTATGCGAAACGAACAATCGTGGAAAAGCATAACCGATATGCCCTCTACCACCCTAGCGCAGAGGCCATATCGTCAATGATCATGGACATGCCATACAAACTGGTGAACTCGATATTGATGAACATAACGTTGTATTTCATGGCAAATCTCCGTCGTGAACCCGGGCCGTTTTTCTTCAACTATCTAATTTCTTTCATGATGGTGATGAGCATGTCGATGTTTTTCCGCCTCTTCGCATCACTTACCAAAACCATCCAGCAGGCGTTGGCTCCGTCATCAATCATCCTTATGGCTCTAGTCCTATATACTGGGTTTGCCATTCCAGTGAACTATATGCGCGGATGGGCTTCGTGGATTCGGCACTTGAATCCTGTCGCGTATGGTTTCGAGGCTATCATGGTCAATGAGTTTCACGGGAGGACTTTCCCCTGTGCATCGTTCGTCCCTTCTGGAGTAGGATACGAGAACATCTCCCAGGACGAGCGTATCTGCTCGGTCGTAGGATCTGTTCCAGGCTCAGATCTCGTTGACGGCACAACTTTCGTTAAATCCACATACGGATATGAAAACAGTCATCGCTGGAGAAATTTTGGTATTATTCTCGCACTCACTATCTTTCTCGCACTGTGCCAGCTTATAGCAACAGAGCTAGTTGCCTCTGAGCGGTCAAAGGGCGAAGTTCTTGTGTTTCGCCGCGGCAGCTCACAGAAAGCCAGGACAAAACAATGCCAACACGATGAGGAGCGGACACAAGCCCCTATCATCCAAAACGAGAAGCATAGCGAGGGACTTGACTCGACTATAGGTGTGGAGAAACAGACGTCTATCTTTCACTGGGAAAATGTATGCTATGATGTTAAGATCAAGAGTGAAACTCGGCGGATTCTAGATCATGTTGATGGTTGGATCAAACCTGGCACTTTGACTGCCTTAATGGTAAGCTACCTCTACCGGAACATTTCCGACTATGTCAGGCTCACAAGCAATTCACAGGGCAGTTCCGGTGCTGGAAAAACAACTCTACTCGATGTGCTGGCTAACCGCACCACAGTTGGGGTTGTTGGTGGTGATATGCTCGTCGATGGCCGACCACGGGACAGCTCATTTCAACGGAAAACAGGTTATGTACAACAACAAGATCTTCATCTTCATACCTCTACTGTGCGTGAAGCTCTAGAGTTTAGCGCCTTGCTCAGACAACCGCCTCAGTATACTCGGGAAGAAAAGTTGGACTATGTTGAGAAAGTTCTTGATCTTCTCAATATGAGAGACTACGCTGACGCCATAGTTGGGATACCTGGAGAGGGGCTTAACGTGGAGCAGAGAAAGCGCCTTACAATTGGCGTTGAGCTGGCCGCACGTCCGAAACTGCTTCTTTTCCTGGATGAGCCTACCTCTGGCCTGGATAGTCAGACGTCATGGTCAATTTGCAATCTGATGGAGACTCTGACCAAGAACGGACAAGCTATTCTCTGTACCATTCACCAGCCGTCTGCCATGTTGTTCCAACGCTTTGATAGACTACTTCTTCTAGCAAAGGGAGGCAAAACCGTCTACTTTGGTGAGATCGGACGTGAGTCTAGAGTACTGATGGACTATTTCACACGTAATGGTGGCCCTGCTTTGCCACCTGGCAGCAATCCAGCAGAGCACATGCTTGAGGTGATCGGTGCCGCACCAGGGGCTAAAAGCGAGATTGACTGGTCTGCGGTTTGGCGAAACAGCCCTGAATATCAGAATGTGCGCCATGAGCTCACAAACCTGAGAGCTTTGGCCAATCAACCATCACCCGTTGCAGACACGAACGACAGATCTAGCTATGCGGAATTCGCGGCTCCATTCACGACACAGTTTGTGCAAGTTGGGCTAAGAGTGTTCCAACAGTACTGGCGTACGCCAGCGTACATCTATTCCAAGGTTTTGCTTACGATTGGTTGTGTGAGTATTACCTCGACGGACTTATATCTACGCTGAGTTCTAATGAGCTGTTCCCCAGTCACTCTTCATAGGGTTTTCTTTCTTCAAAGCCGACAATACAGCCCAGGGCCTACAAAATCAAATGTTTGGTGTCTTTGTCTTCCTCTTCGTCGTCATCCAGTTGATTATCCAGATCATCCCGTCGTTTGTAACGCAACGAACGCTTTACGAAGCACGGGAGCGACAATCCAAGACTTATTCGTGGCAAGCATTCGTTCTCACCAACATACTAGTCGAGCTTGCATGGAACTCAGTAGGTTTTATCCACACAGTCTCTGTACGACGCCTAGTACTCAGTCAGACTCTAACATATCTTAGATCATGGCAATATTCTGTTTCCTTGTTTGGTTTTACCCCGTGGGTCTTTTCCACAACGCTGAGTACACCGACACGTTGCACTATCGAAGCACCCTCGCCTTTCTCTTCATCTGGGTGACCTTTCTCTTCGCCAGCTCGTTGGCGCACATGTTAATCGCAGGCATCGAGAGTGAAGAGATCGCCTCGAGTCTCTCTAATATATTAGCTATCATGATGTACGCGTTTTGCGGAATTCTTGCAGGCCCGGACGCTCTTCCTGGTTTCTGGATTTTCATGTACAGAGTCAACCCGTTCACGTACCTAGTGTCCGGCTTGCTATCAACCAGTCTCGGCGAAGCGCCAATGCACTGCGCCGAAAAGGAGTTTTTGTCCTTTTCGACTCCCGCAAACCTAACCTGTGGCGAGTATATGCAGGATTATATTTCCTCGAATGGGGGGTACTTGCTCAATTCAGCAGCCCAAGGGGGCGAAGATTGTCACTTTTGCGCGACAGGAAACACTACCCAGTTTCTGCAAAATGTCAATATCGACTTTTCAACGCGATGGAGGGACTTCGGGTTGATGTGGGTGTACGTGATGTTTAATATATTTGCAGCCATATCCCTGTACTGGCTCTGTCGAGTACCCAAGGGCAAGAAGCGCAAATGAAGACATGCGTCGTCTGGCTTTTGGGGGGTGAGGCGAGGAGGCTCTTGCTATGAAAAGCCCCTGCTTGCATACTTCACAACTTGACTGAATTTTCACGGTATTTAATTTAGCTTAACGGCTTGCGCTAAAGCTTGTCGCCTCTGTTTATAGAGAGTCTTATATAGAGATTAATAGAGATTGTTTAGATGTTAGATCAATCAGGTTACTTTTGAGATAAAGTCAAACAGTACCCCATCCGAGAATAGCTCACTTCGATGCCTAATGTCTATGACCCCATAGTGGCCCCACGTATACAATGACAAACTACAAAGTAGGGAGTGCAAATAAGGTTGTTGGGAGTGGAGAATCATCACCTGGTGCTGGTTCCGATTCGACCTCGCCTTGATAGATTTCATCATTGCGACGATTGCTGACTGTGTATACCAGCTTACAAAAACATTGTTTCCCGGTTCCAGCACTCATAAACAGGCTCATTCCTGTTATGTGGTGGAGGGTTATGCGTGTGAACTGCCAGACTTTCAATATGCCTATCACTAACTTCCCACTGATGTTTGCTGGAGTCAGTATCTGGTAGCAAATTAACTCCACGGAGTCGGTCACAGTGGCCATATATTGAGAATGTAAACTTGTGGCTTGCGAGACGTATTTGTCTGCTAATACTGCAGACAAAAAGTGACCTGAACAAGATGAGCACTGTTAATGCACCAACCTGCACGCCTCGCTTCGCAACTATATGCTTCGGGGGAATGTACTCATGGCTCTCTAGTTTATAGCATAAACAGCTAAAGATACAGATATTCAATCTTGTTTTTAACGTTCTCTTTGCTTTACTTCCCCTTTCTTACCCCCCCAAGGTAGACATCGCCATCGTTTGTCGCCATGAAAAGCTGGATACGAGGAACTGTTTTAGGTGATACTCTTCGTCTTCTACTTGGGTCTCGCTGGTTGAGTTACCCTGAAGATGATCCGACATTTGACCTTCGTGAGGCCAAAAGAGCTTCATGTTTGGACGAACATTCTCATAAAGACCTCGAGAGCGGCCAGGAAACAATTTTATATGCGGAGAAGCTGTGCACCGCGAACACAATTGATCAGGGCATGATCATCGGTTGGTATACGCCTGATGATCCAGAAACCCCTTAAATTGGTCTTTGGGGCGCAAAGCATGGGTGACATTGCTTATCTCGCAAGTGCAATACATTGTTGACATCGACCATCTACTGACCGATACCAGGGCTTACTCATTCATCGTCTATTGTGGATCGTCTATTATTATCCCCAGTTACGAGTTCATGATGCTTCGATATGGCGTTTCTAGGGAGGTCGTTCAGCTAACCTTGGCTATCTACGTTGTCGGATGTGAGTTTGTTTCCCGAATGACTTCTTTTGATCTTATGTCGAAGTACTAATTCAACACAGACGGTGTCGGCCCTTTGGTTTTCTCGCCATTGAGTGAAATTGCTCGCATCGGTCGCAACCCTCCTTACGTATTATCCTTTATACTGTTTGTAATTGTGTCGATTATCCTCGCAGTCATAGATAACTTTCCAGCCATCGTCGTACTGCGTTTTCTTCAGGGCTTCTTTGGCAGTCCATGTCTGGCCAGCGGGGGCGCCACTATACAGGATATGCTTTCGTTGATCAAGGCCCCCTATGGATTCATATTTTGGGTCACTGGATTTTATTGTGGCCCGGCCTTGGGACCGTTACTGGCAGCCTTTGCGGTGACCTCCAACTGGCGCTGGCCTCTATGGGAGATTGTTCTGATGAGCGCATCATTCCTCATCATTCTCATCTGCCTACTGCCCGAGACGTCGCATGAGACAATTTTGCTTCGTCGAGCCCAACGCCTTCGTCGCTTCCATCCAGCTGTTTTGGCCCCAGCTGAGACTAGACGGCTTGACTTCCAGGCCATATTGATCGACGCATTGATCAAGCCAATTGAAATCACAGTTATGGACCCAGCTCTCGCATATATGTCCGTTTACGCGTCGTTTGTGTATGCTGTCTATTACTCATTCTTCGAGGCCTTCCCAATTGCCTACGGCAGTGTACATGAAATGCCCCAAACCTCTTTGAGCTTGATATTCCTCGCCATCATTGTTGGGTGTGCATTAGCCGCAGGACTGTATGGGGTGTATCTGAAGTATAGCTTTATTCCTCGGTGTCACACCGACAATCCCAGTCAAGAAGACCGTCTGATTCCAACACTTCCCGCAGTCTTTCTCCTCCCCGCTGGTCTTTTCATGTTTGCCTGGACAGTCCGACACTCAGTTCACTGGATCGTGCCTACCATCGGCATAGTCATATATTCGGGATCATCCTTTGTTGTTTATCAGGCGATTATCGTCTACATATCGTTATCGTACCCGCGTTATGTGGCCTCGCTCTTTGCGGCGGCCGACTTTACGCGATCCATAACGGCCGCCGGGTTCGTCATGTTCGCGCGGTATATGTTTCTTGACCTGGGAATTGGCAAAGGGGTTACCGTGCTGGCGGGTCTCTCGGTTGGAGGTGTCTTTGGGATGATTTTTATCTATGTGTATGGCGCGAAGCTGCGAGCGCGGAGCAAGTTTGCTGTGGGGGATTGACTATGCAAGGCTGGTCTCAGGCCTCCGCCCGCGTCATCTTCTGATTCATATACATTTGCCTGTTACACACGAACGCATCGAGACTGGTACCGAACTGTATGTCGGGTCTGTACACCATCAGGTGTAGAAGAAACTCCGTATTTTGCTATTCATGTCCAGCCCTAATAAAACACACCAAGAATATGGGATGGTTATTGCGTACAGACAACCAATAGAATGTGGCAGCGGACAAACCAAACTGACCGTCTATCAACTTCCCGTTCGGGGATGCCAGCTGGTATCAAGACTGCAGTGACATATCATACAAGTCGTAAAGGCTTGCCACAATGAGCGTAACAATGTTTACGTACTGTATTAGCCCACTTCACCGTCGGATATAGGGGAAAGTTCAACACTCCGCGTAGATCTCCAGCGCTTGTAGCGGTGTTGTTGTCTTGTTGTCTTGTTGTCTTCCCCTCACGTGCCTGGTTCGTTCTAACCTAAAGTGGTAACAGCCGCCCCACCGATCACCTGATCCACCCTCTCCTAGCGAAAGGATCTTCGTCCAATTGGGACTATTACGCCATAGATTGTTCCCATAGCGCTGGAACTGGAACCACTTGTTGGTGCTAGTCGAGTGGGTTTTTTTGCCAGTGTGTGCGTGAATGTGGGTTTGGCCGGTGTTGCTGTACATAGTAACATGCATCAAATCGACTCCGGAGCATCTTACTGAGCTGGGTAGTTCCTCGCGGCCATGATAGCCGAAATTACTCTGAAGATTGATTATGACGAGATAGTATCTTATAACTAAAGATTATCTTCTCAAGTCGAGGCACTTGGTATTGTACTTTACGAGTTCTGATGACAGCCAAAACGGGCAAGAGAAAAGCCTTATATTTCCCAAAGGGACACTCTGCAGCCCAGTCAGGTGTTTTCAAGTGGAGGGGGTAAAAAAAAATAAAAGAAAAAGAAAAAAGAGGGGTTGAAAAGTCCTCCGTACGTACTCGAGAAAGAGAAAGTTTAAGCCACACAGAATAACAGAAGATACTCGAAAGTGTTGGTAGACTCCAGACATTCTCCTGTATTGAAAGGTTCGGATCGTCATACTTTAAACTCAAGTCAATCGTAACCCCCGGAAACACTGGACGCCACGCGGTACCAAAACCAGTCTGCGTGGATGGGAGATCTTGATCGCACGAAACCGTCCTCCCCTTTCACTGCTCAATTTCCATGCCTTTCTTTTTTATCATTTTTCTTGGTTCGATCTGATATGGTGGACCGATTGAGATCATGCAATCATGATAACGAGGAAAGCTGGACGACTACGTCATATGCACCGACGAGGATCGGTTACTAGTGCTTGCAGGAGGCCAGTTGCTGGACCAATCCGCGGGGGATTAATCACCATTATCAAGGCCTCATGCATCTCGTGCCCTAAGAAGAGCACAGAGAATTTCGAACAAGCTTCTTTGGCTTGTTACACGGCGAGGCATTGTTGTACGGTGTACTGCGTCCATACAGTACATCCTGTCCATGGGACAATTAGATCACTTTTCACTGGTGCGTAGTTATTCAGTTACCAAACCGTATTACAAAGAGGTTAATCATCGACTCTCTTGTTCGATCCCAGACTTCGATGAGGGGGATTCCGCTACTAACAATCATGGGGCATCGGTAAATGGTACAGACGTGGGCCCTCTTGATTGACCCTATTTTCTAGGCCCACGTATCGTTACCGTACGCGTTCTAGGGAGTCTTGGCGCTGTGTCGTGTGAGGAAAAAACGGAATTTACCAGCGGAAACCACGGAAGAGGAAGTGACAGGCGATTCGACGGGAGTCCGTCGCTTATGGTAGACAAGGAGACGAATTATGCTTGTAGACCAGGGATAAGTCGTGCGACATGAATCGTGCATCAATGATGGATACTTCCTGCGTGCTTTCTCAACGTTCAACCGGTAATCTATCGCGGTACCGTACCGTGGTCGTACCAGGATTAGGTAAGGAGAGAAACCCTCCGCAAAGAATTCCTTCAGCTTTCGATAATCCCCACTAACTAGTCCGCAGTCGGCCATTCTTTAAACTAGGTGAAGGTACGGAGTTACCATTCATCCCAATTTGCCTCATTCCGCACCGGCCTCTTTTTTTTCTACTTCTCCTTTTCCTCCTGAGGTTTCGCCCTCGAGGTGTCTTATACCTCGTGGACTCGTCTGTCATCTATTCTCTCTGCCGCATTGTCACCAATCACTTTCTCCGACCCACCATGATCGCCAGCCCTTGTCGTTATGTCATGATGTTATACGTCCACCATCAGGCCCTGTAATGGTTCATTAGGGAACAGATGCGTCTTTGACTCGACACACTATATTCTACGATCTATACTGCTGATTGTTGAATCCTCGAACTGTGGTTGATTCTTGACTCCGTGGACCGGAGTATGCGCTTGAACCCGTCTGCCCTGTTTCACCAGTACACCAAATAATTTGCTGGGCCACAAAGTCATTTAATTTCCGATCGACTTGCCAGGCGAGAATTTTATTCAAAATGGAAGGGGTTGAGACCGTTGATGTCAGCTGGCTGCATCATACGCAGAAAGGTGACAGCGAACCCCAGCCAGCGCTATACCCACTACGGGGGTGTTCTGTCGCATCCACTATCATTCGGATTGGCCTCTAACGTCCCAGCAGATAATCTCTCCAGGTGCAAATCCACGTCGTCTACGCACAGCGACAAGCCGGCTCTCGATACGGAACCCGCCGTCGGACCACGAAGTAAAGAAACTCCCGTCGAGAGAACCTCGCCACCACCTCCATACGAGCCTCTCACCCCTGCCGCAACACCCACGCCGGAGGCGCAAAAGAATGCTCAACGAACTGAGAAGGAAGTGAGATCTGATGATAAGACCACGGATGGGAAGTCGACTGGATCGTCCCCGAATCCTCAGAAAAGTGCTCCGAAGCCAATCGGGAGGCGGAACTCATGGATCTCAAGCCTGAGCTCCAAGTTCTCTTCGGGCTCTACACCCCCGTCGCAGTCCAGCTTAAAGAGTCAACCGACCGTTAAGGCAACCTCTCCGGTTTCAAAACTCGATATGCACAATCCATTCGGAGCAGCCTATTCTCCCAAAGACAGGGACGATGAAAAAAAAGACGACCCGAATCCGTTTACGTCCGCTTCTCCCAAGGGCCCATCGTTCCTCCAGAATGCCTTTCGGAAACTGTCATCCTCTTCATCGGGCGGATCGGGCAAGTTGGCTTCAAATGGTGTTATTTGCGAACGTCGCGTGATGAACATTGACCAGGGCCGGGATAGGTGCAAGATCCCAGATTTGGACCAGGCCAAGTTACGACGCGTTGCATTTTGCGTAGACGTTGAGATTGCGGGTATTTCTCGCCGAGAGTCTGACGAAGAAAGCAGTCCTACCAATGCCAAGCACCGGAACGTCCCAGATCTGAATGGAAAAACGAAAAAGTCAGGCACCAAATCGAAAGACAAAGATGAAGGCTCTGCGTTGAAACATCCGCAAACAGTGTTGGCAGATAAGGAAAAGCGGACCCAAGAAAATATCGCCTCTGGAACGCAGGCTGGTCAACCGGAAACCACCCCAAATGATGCCAAAGTAAATGGCGAAGCCAAAGAGCCAACCAGAAAACAGGAAAAGAAGAAGAGATCGGAGGAGGAAAGGAAGGAGCGCAGGGAGAGGCGACGGAGACAAGCAGAAGCGAATGGTTCTATTCCCTTACAATTAACTGCCGATGATCATGAGGACCATCCTCCCGCACCTCTGCCCGGTAACCCGCGCTCGAGAACGCAGAGCCACCCGACAACGGACCCCGTACGGATATACAGACGTTGCTGCCAGTTACGGGAGACGCCCGTGCTGAAAAGAATAGTTGATGAAATCTCCGCGCCTTCCTCCATCCTCGCGGAATCTCCAGGAACGGTTGGTGTGCTCGATCTCACCAACTTTCCCATGACACCCCAGGATATGGCCACTTTCAGTGACTGGCTGGCGGTAGTCCCTGTCCGAAAGATTATCCTGGAAAAATGTGCTTTGACAGATGACTCAGTGCGGTCAATCCTTGCTGCCCTGCTTTCCACAAAAACCGTGGAGCAGATGAGGCAGAGACGCAAGCGAACAGGAAAGTCGGGCCCGGTCTCTCAGGCTCCGGCGAAAGAAGAAAGAAATAGCGTTGTAGAGAAACTATCCCTCAAAGATAATCCAAAGATCGGCAAGGAAGGGTGGCGCCATATTTGCCTGTTCGTTCACCTCTCGAAATCCCTCAAGGCCATTGACCTGTCAGGTATACCACTTCCGAAGACACCTATCACAACACATGATCTGAATGGCCAGCTCCCTAAAGCCTCGTGTGCTACTGGTTCCGCAGTGGATGTTGCAACTGTCTTCGCTAATTCTCTCTCTCGGCGCTTCGGTGGTGATCATCTTGAGGAGCTCTTGATGAGCGAGTGCAAACCCACAACAGACGAGGTGAAGAAGATCTGTGATGCAGCCACGACTCTCGGGCTGAGGCGGCTTGGCTTCGCGAACAACGAGCTGAACAGAGAAGGCTTGGAACATGTTATTCGATATCTTAGGTCACGCAAATGCGAAGGGCTTGATCTGGGCGGCAATCCCATCCGAGATCATTTGGACCTGATTACATCGGCTATTGAAAAAGAAACCAACCTTTACGCGCTGAGTCTTGCGGACTGCGCTCTTACCCCGACTGCCATTGGTCCTTTACTCCAAGCCTTGACGCGTCTTCCCAATCTTCTATTCATTGACTTCTCCCATAACCCTGAGCTCTTTTCCAGTCAACCTGATGCTCTAGCGATTTTCCGGCGTTTCCTCCCAAAAATGCCCTCGCTGAAGCGCATCCATTTAACTGATGTGAATTTGTCCGCCGACCATGCCATCGCTCTTGCGGAAGTCCTTCCCGAATGCCCTAAGTTGTGCCACCTGAGCATCTTGGAAAATCCCGCAATTAGTGCGCTAGCTGCTGCAACAGACGCGAGTAACCAG